TCTCCTCTTTTCTAAGCTGAGAAGTCCCAGTCTCTTTAGCCTCTCTTCATATGGGACCTGTTCCCAACCCCTGATCATTTTAGTTGCCCTCCCCTCTCCCAGCCTCTCTCTTCCCCTCTCCCACCTCCTTTTCCCAGTCTCCCCCACTTTTGTTCAATAAAGAGAGATTCTATTTTTGAACACGTGTCCTTTATTTTGTACATCAGGAAGGGGGGCTAGGGAGGGGTAAGTGGAAGGAGGTGAGGGAGGAATGGGGTATGAGCCCCCGATGGGGAGGACTGGGCTGGCTCTGCGGGCTTCTGGGGGTGGAACCTCTCCTGCAGCCCCCCAATTGCCCGCTTTCCCCAGATGGCAGCCTGCGGCAAGTGCAGCCGGTCTGATGGCCGAGTGCTGTGATGTGCCGAGTGTGGGCATTCAGGGCACTCCAAGCCAGGACTGCTTTGCAAGCGGAGAACCCCTGAGAACTGTCTGTCCGGGGTGGGGGTCGGGTCCCTTTAAACACAGCCCTCGGCTAGCCTGAGACAGCAGCTCCACGCTCTAAGTCCTAATCTGATGCCCTGCCGGCACTGCTTCCGGCCATGCTTAACCTCTGTTCAGGGTCCACTCAATGTGGACATGCTAGTTCGAATTAGCAAAATGCTAATTCAAACTAGTTTTTAGGTCCAGTTGCACTAGTTCGAATTAGCTTAGTGCATCGTGGTGGTGGGATCTGGAGCGGCCCAGTGGCCTGTTCACTCCACTCCACCCTCTCCTGGCCGGCTGTGCTTGGCAACGGGAAGCAGAACACACAGGCCGTAGGGTGCTCTGCTTTCCGCCAGCATGGAGAAGAGGGGTGCAGCGGGATGGGAGAGGTCGCTGGGGCAAAGCAGAGCAGGCTGCTGGGCCACTCTGACTCCCATGGCCATGATGAGTGTGGGAGAAGGGGGGCTAAGGCCTCTGAAATCCATCCTTGTGTGGTTTGGGGAGGGGTGGAGTGGAGGCAAACCAGGGGTGGGATTGGGGGAAGGAGTGGAGTGGGGGTAGGGTGGTGCCTATGGTGGGAGTTTTTAGGTCTAGATGCACTAGTTCGAATTAGCTTAGTTCAAATTAACTAATTCGAATTAAGTTAGTTCGAATTAGCTCTGTAGTGTAGACATACCCTCAGTGAGCCTCAGCTCACTTTCTACATAAATGGGCTAGTAACACTTAAAGCAGAAATGGCCCGTGGGCTTGATGCAGCCTGCTCCTTATCTTGATCTGGCCTGCGAAGCTCAACGTTCCCTGATCCCTCTGCAGCGGGGAAAGCTGATGCTGGATCTCTAGCCACAGGAGGTTCCCTGAAGGTCAGAGCCCTGGCCAATGAGAGTGGTGGGGGGGCAGTGTCTGCCAGCACAAGGTAGCATCAGGTCACCTGCTCCCTTCCCCAGGAGCTGCTCCACGTGGGCGCCCCCATCCTGTGTCCCCTTCTGCATCCCCATTCTGTCTGCACCCTGCACTCCCATCCTTCTTCTGTACTTCCACTCCTGGCCAAATCTCCTTGCCTGCAAGCCCATTCCTGCATTCCCCCTTCTGCCCACATCTTCCACTTTCAGCTTCCTTCTGCACCTATCTCCCACCCAGAACCAGCATCTCCAGCCCATTCCCCAGCAGTGCCTTTCCACACACTGAACCTCTAATTTTTGGTTTTACCCAAGAGCCTAAGGGGACCTCCAGTCCTCCTGGACTCCCCCATGGCACTGAAGAGTGAAGGGAACCCTGACACCCTGACTGAGGTGAGTCTTTTTTTTGCTCATCAGTTGGGGACACATTCATCAGGGTTTTTTTTCGCTTCTCACTTGTGTGTGGCCCCCCAACTGATTTTTGTGCGAGTTAGTGGCCCCCCAGTCTCCAAAAGAGATACCTCACTCCTGACTTAGAGGGTTGTTGTGAGACTCAATCAATCAATGTTTGCAATTGCTCAGCTACTACAGTGATGAGAGGCTAAATAATTATCACAATAGTTAACAGACTGAAATCTATTCTAGGTGAGGTAAGCTCGAGTGTAGTATCCGGACCGGGTTCCTGTTTGAAGATCGCCTGATTAAGCAACCGCCGTGGGATCGAATCCTTTGCTCCGTGGGACCCGATTGGATCCAGCCCTTTTTAGGGCTTCTGATACCAAGACTACCAGTGGAATAAAATAAAAACACGTGAAAATCAAAGGACACGAGGGTCAGTGAGCAGGAAATACTTCTGCCAAAACTGAGTAAACTTACTGAATTCATCTGGCCAAGAAAATGTAGGAAGTGATGTGAAATTGTAGCCATATAAATGAAGGAACATTACCAAAGCAAATTACTATAGTAAGAAATGTATTCATTATTTCTATTTTTGAAGGGATGGGGGGTGTCTAAGAATCACACCTGGGAATCACACACCATTTCTTTCAAAAGAATAAAATATCATTCAAATTCTTAAAATAAGCATACAATTTAAATTCCAGCATGAGAAAGCCAGTAAAATGATAAGTATTAGATTTAAAACAATTAAAAACAGACATTGCTTTGCTCCAGCAAACAAACCTTCCTCAGTTAGCCCTGGTTTACACTAGAGAGTTATTTCAAAATATCTTCCTCCTATTTCAAAATAACAGCAGAGAGTCCACAGTACCAAGCCCATTATTTCGAAGTAATGGGCTGGTTATTTTGTTAATAATATCTCCTGCTTTCCATGAGGAATAACGCTTATTTTGAAATAAATACCGGTAGCAAGAGTGTGGATGCTCAGCTGCTGCTATTTTGAAATAATTGGCCTCCAGAGGCCTCTCACAGCTGTATTTGTGACCACACTAGCCATACACCTGCCATCTCTACTGCTCCCCTTTTCCTGCAGAGCTTAAAGCAGCAGACTGATGGAAAAGGCTTGTGGCACGTGTGGACCTTTCACACCCCTGTGCCACACAACACCCATCTGTCACGTTACCAGAGTTTAAGAAAAGCAGCCAGGTCATTGCTGCAATCATGGGAGGGGCAGTATTTTCCCCAAAAGTGGTACAAAAGGGGTCATGTAAGGTGTCAAATGAAACTTGACTTCTACTGATTCTGTATCTGCTCTTCATATAGCTGTATAATGTCTGTGTGTGGAGTTATGAATATGTACTCTGTGTTAATATTAGAAGTTTCTTTGTATGAGATTGAGCAGTAGACAAAGACTGCTTAGCCTATGGACGTGCTAATAGGCAAGTCTCCACAGAATAATAGCCCTCTGTAGGCCAAGGACATACCTCAAGAATGGTGACTGATACCTAAGGGCTACCAGCAGGGGACACAGGGATAGGCCACGGGCCAGGTGACCTGCTGCAGCCAAGAAGAGACCAGGAAAGAGGTATAAAGATGCCATGTGGCAGCCTCTATTTTGTCTTCAGATCTGCTCCTGACCTCAGATGTGGTCTTGCAGGGAATCACGAGCCGGGAAGAACTGTGGACCCATCCTGACATAGGATGTACTCCAAAGACTTTTAAGCCAGCAGTTATAACATCTCTGCTGCGAGCCTGCATCAAGAACTGGGAGGTTTGATGCATGTAATGTATGCTACTTTAACAACCTTACTCGCATGCTTTTCTTTCTCTTAGTAATAAACCTTTAGATTTTCGATTCTAAAGGATTGGCTCAGCGTGATCTGTGGGTAAGATCCAGAGGGTAAATTGACCTGGGATCTGTGGCTGGTTTCTTGGAACCGGAAAGAACTTGTTTGGGGAAGGTGAGATTGGGTTCTAAAATCCCTCACCTGTGTATGAGGCCCGGGGCCATGGGGACAGCTATTGCTGTGGTATTGGAGGGGTTTTGCTGGTGAAGCTTCTGGCTGGCCAAGCAGGCAGCTGAAGCGCTCTGTGGGACTAGTTTGTGGCCTATTTGGGAGGGTCTCCAATCTGGGGGCTATAGAGAGCCACGAATTTGAGCAATTTGCCTTGAGAGGACACCCTCAGCTGTGCTGGGACCCAGCCTGGTCCGTCACACCATCCCAAGAGCCACTGGCGACTCCAGCACTCCCTCTGAGCCCACCATGCTGCCAGCACTCCTGCAGCACTCTTGGCTGCCCTGGCCAGGGACAAAAGAGGGCACTGGCCTGGACTGGTGTGTAGATCCTGGACCTCATCAAGGTTTGGGGTGAGGAGACCATCCTTCAGGACTGCCACACCAGGAGGAGATATACAGCTGATGTCTGTGACCAGATGATCTCCAGTATGGCCAAAAAAGGACACGTGGACTCTCTACCAGGTCTGTGTGAAAATAAAAGGAGTCCGTCAGGCTTCCAATGCCAGGGAGCAAAGTGAATGCTCTGAGGAAGCTCCTCATACCTACTGCTATTATGAGCAGCTGCATGCCATCCTGGGAGTGGGGACAGTCACCCCACCAGCATCACTGAGTCTGTCTATGACATGCCCCGAGTCAGTCTTCCTGAGGCTGAGGTTGTAGAGAAGGAGGCGGAGGAGAAGGAGGAGGAGGCGGAGGAGCAGGCCAACCAGGACACCATGCCCGCCAGCCAGGAGTTCCCCCAGGATGTCTCCTTGGCCTTGGATGATCCTGGAGAAGGCAGTTCAGGTGAGTTCTATAGCTTTCCCTGTACACATGCGGGAGCAGGTGGCAGGCTGCGAGGGGCTGATCTCTCCTTGCTCGGCCTTCTTGGCATGTGGGTCGCACAACAGTCTGTGCACATGGAGCGCCAGTTCAGAGCACTTGGCTCCATGAGGCTCTCATGATGCTATCACAAGGTTCCGGGACAGGCCTGCCTCACCCCGGACTCCATGGTGGGACACCTTCCTATATGAAGCTACCACTAAGGATTCATGGAAACACACAGCAGTACTGCACATGGCACGGGCTCATGCCAACACTCGGGCAGCATTCACTCCTGGTCAAGCGTAGTGATACGGAGGAGACAGATCTTGTGCAAGGAAGCCTGCCAGGGCGAGGAAGAGGAGGGAACCCCAGTAGCACTCTTTCTGGCAAGTGTCCTCTGTCGCTCACACACAAATCCCCCAACACCCCATCCCTCCAGCGGGCAGGGATAGATGTTCTTTCGAGCAGGCAGAGATAGACGTTCTTTCTCTGAAGGATGTTGCCAATGCTGGACCTGGCGTGTGCAGGACACAGAAGGCGGCCAAGTCGCCCAGTCTTCCACCTGCAGGCTCCTGGCCTGGCCGGCATCTTTCCATGTCTGCTTGTCCCCAGGACATGGCTGTAGCGATGTTCCCCTGGTATGTCCATGTCCTTGCAGGAAAGTGCCCACTGTCTAGGCAACATATGGCCTTGCTCAAAGCACACCACCATCTTCTGAACTGAGACCTGTGGTGTTGGCAGAGAGACTAGGGTTTGTCTTTATACACAGCGTCTCCTGGGATGACTGCCCTTGTCACTTTTTTCTGAAGTATGTGAACGTGCCTTTTTATGCATATTGTATGTGTCTTTAATTCCTTGCATGGGGAGAAGCCCAACACTTTTAGTTTTAGAAGGCCAAGCTGTTTTCTCTATCAAAAGCAAGTGGGGAGAAAGTGCCCTCTGTTGTATCATTTTTTTCTTGTCCCCAAATCCTAGGGAATCTGTTGGTGGCTCTGCAGAGACCCAGAGCTGGGGGTAACAGCTATAGCAGGAGTATTTAACTTTGGAAGCCCCGGGGGCCACAATGATATTCACAGCACGTGCTGAGGGCAGCAACTTTCACCCTGAGGGGCATGAATATGATTAAGGAAAGACTACACAACACGCAGGTCTCATTTAAGACAATTCTGCTGATATTAATAAAATGCAATATTTACCCGATTTCCACCCATATGTCAGCACTTTTAATGATCAATGACAGTCCAGGAATTGAACTACTAAAATGCATATCAACAGAAGTCAACCATTATATTGAATACTTTTTTGTTTTGGCTTTACAACAGTCCAGGAATTTAACTTCTAAAATTTCTGAATGTAAGTAAAACACATATCATCATGTATTCAATCAAAAAGCGTTTCCTCTTTGTTGCCATGTTTAATGCTTCTTATTAAAAGGAAAATTGTACATCAGTGTGATGGTCATGAGGGATGGCCAGCAGCCTGGGGACTAAGGGGTTAACTATGTCCCCTGTACCTAGTCAGGTATCTGCTCAGCCAATAGTAATGCAGATAGGGATTTCAAACTAGGAAAAAGGATTTTTAACTTTTCTCTCCTTTGCCTCTGAGCTAGTTTTGCTCTCTAAATACTGAGGGATACAGAAGACATGTCTCTCTCCAAGAAAAAGACTCTTCACAGTGTGTAAGTAAGGTAAAGTCTAGATAAATCCTTCAGGTTTTATTATTTTCTGGTTTGGGAATTTGGATCTGTTATCTGTGCTGTTAGAAATGGTTTTTTCCTCTCTTTGCAACTAAGTTTTAGCCCATGGGGGAAGCTTCTATGAGTATATTAATTGGTGGCTCTTATCATCTAGCCATTCCAACTATGCTTGTAGCTGGACTATTGTTTCGGGACACCTGGATAGTTAGGCTAGAATAGGGCAGGCAAGGGGCCCAGTACATGCTTTTTTGGTCAGGCAAAGTAGCCCTAGAGCAACCAACCCTTCCTGAGCAACACCCTGAGGTAGAAACAGCCTCATATCAAGGCAAGATGTCCAGCTCCAGAGAAGATTCATACTCAAAGGAGGGGGGACAGGAGCATGTTCCTGCAGGCAGACCTCTAACTAAGGAAGAGGTAGCGTTCTTATGACAAATGAAGGGACGGGAAGCAGAGATGAAGCAAATAGAGGCCAAAATAAGGAAACAGAAGTGAAAGCACAGGCAAGGATAGCTAAAGCAAAGGTAACATTTGAAATATTGAAAGCTAAGCAGCTGGACACTCCAACTGCAACTAAGCACCCTGCTCCCAATAATGTTCCAATCATTGTTCAACATCCCAAGGAACTCCAGACCCAGAGAGTGGAAGAACACCAGAGACTATATCCTCCCATAAGGTCAGTGTATCACCATGTGAATATGGGGTTTGATTATGGCAAGGCATAATGTAATAATGCTGATATTTCAACCCAGCCCCAAAGCATGTATGGATGCTACTCTTCTGTGTTGCCTGTAGTTAACAGGGTGGTTTGTGAAAGGGATGAGTGTGATTCTGAGCAGTCGTTTGTGGCTAGTCTGTCTAGGACCAATGGAAAAGTTGTTCTCAATGTTTTCCTGGGGGAGATAGCTATGTATCTATGCAGGGGAGCTGTGTGTCTGTAAGTAAAGTTTCTGCATGTCTACCAGAAGCCTCAGAGGTGAGGCTGGAATCAGAAACAGGGCAGGGAGAGCCCAGTGATCAGGGAAGTGTGTCTCTGGAGTGGGTGGCCAGAGAGAAGTTTTAGCTGAGGAAAAAGATAAAGTTCTGGCAAGTGATGAGTTGTTGGCTGGTGAAGTTTGTGAAATTGAACTTGCACACGCTAACAGTAATTTGTGTGAGGGTGCTCAGCGGGAGCAAACTCCGTGTGTGGAAACTGGCAGCTTGGTTTTTGGGAGGGGCAGTGTGTCAGTGAAAGAAACTGCCTCAGCAGCCACATGAGTGCTGGCGTGTGGCAGCAGTAGCAGTATGCCTGTGCGGGAAGGGTTTCTTCCCAGTTCTTTGTCTGCAGGAGGTGCTTATCAGCCTGGAATGGCTGAGGACAGTGCTGTGGGTTCATATTTATTTCTGGGGAGAGCTGAAGCCTAGAAAGGGGAGGACCCTAGGTTTGTATCTGCTGGGGAGAGTGGTATTGTAAATGGGGTAGGTCCAGTAAGTATCATGTCAGGATCCTAGGGATCATAGAAGTCTGGTGCTGGTGTTTTACCTGTTTCTGGTGCGCTGCTGGGAGGGAGGAAAGTGACTCTTTGTGATGAAGGTGCTACCGTAACCAGGATACCTGGGGAGCACCAGGGTGAGCTAATTTGTGGTTGCCTAACAACAGTGTGGAAACTTGTGACAGTCTAGAAAGCTACAAGAGGAAGGAAGATGTATCTGACATCTTATCAGAGGAGTCTGTTTGGTTGCATGAAAGGGGGCTGTGTGGAGACCTGCCTGTGCAGGGTGTAGGGGAAACTCAGGACGAGTTGATGGTGGCTCAGCAGGGCAATGCTACTGCAGGACGAGGGACAGGTGAGATTTTGCTTAAAGAAGTTCATAGGGAAGAGAATCCTTATGGTGATGTTGTCCAGCAGTTTGTTTCTCATGTTAGTTTCTCAAACTTTATTTTAAGTAAAATCAAATATTTATTTATGTCCAACACAAAAGGTTTCAGCGTTTTCTTTATTTATGGCAGGTGTGGAGATCCTTTCTTGTGTCAGGGGCCACTGACCTTCATTAAAAACAGTTGGGGACCTTACCAGTGAGAAGCAAAAGAACTTCCTCAAAAAACCCCAACCCTCAGTGATGTGGCCCCCAACTGAGACACCTCATCTGGTGTTCCAGCCCCCCCGGAGCGAGGAGAAGTGAAGGGACAGAGAGGACCTAGGTTCAGGGCTTCTCATAGGCCATATTTACTTTTCTGGGGTCCAGGAGTTAGTGGATTTTATGGACACCCTTAGGCTCTGGGGAGGGGACATAAATGAGGGGTTCAGTATGCAGAACAAAGCTGCCAATGATTGGAATAGGGATGAGGTGCAGGATCTGGGAGAGAGGTGCGATACAGAAGAGGATGAGGGTACAAAGTCTGGGTGGGAGGTAGGGTGCAAAAGCAGGCTGGGAGTAGGGTGTCTGCCCAGGGGAAGTGAGCAGGAGCAAGGGAGGATGCAAGAAGCAACCGTGGATGCAGGAGCAGAGTGGGGGTAGGTGTCTGGCCAGTGTGTATGTTGCAAGAGCAAGAGAGGGTGTAACAGCAGGGTGGGGGTAGGGTCTCTGGCCAGGAGAGAGGGTGTAGGAGCAGAGTGGTGGTAGTGTGTCTGGCCAGGGGCATGAAGATGGGGGCAAGGAGTGCCTAGGGCTAAAGCTGGGAGTCAGAGTGGCTGAAGGTGTTCAGGGAGATGGGGGTGCAGGGAGCCCCTGGGAACAGGGCTGGGGTCAAGGTGGTGGAGGGGAATTTAGGGAATGGGAGGGGCAGAGGGCAGGGAGGCTAGGTGTGGCATGGCAGGGGTGAGTAGATAGGAGAACCCAGGGTGTCCAGCCCTGCCGGGGATGGGTACACGAGGTTCAGTCAATGGTGCCCTTGGTGGCTGAGTCACTGCTCAGCTCCTCCCCCAAGACCGAATCCCCATGGGTGCAAAGCAGTGTTCCTTCTAACATTTTCTATCCTTCGGCGGGTTGAATTTTCTTTTGTGCACCACCAATATTGAGGTAGTGTGTGACTATACACCACCAACACAAAGAAAACACACACACAATATCTAATATATAAAGGAGAATGTTTGTATGTTTGTGCTCTAATAACTTGGACACTATAAGACCTACTGCAACCAAACTTTGCATGGGTAACCTTTGCTCCAGGAGAAGGTTTTAAGGGACTGTGGAAGGGAAGAGATGAGAGACCGACACCTCTCACTGGGGCTTCACGGAGCTTGGCAGCACGGGTAGAAGCGACTTCCCCGCCATCTACTGGATGGTGCCCACTTATATACAGCATACTCAGGACATGGCCACCTGACAAAAAATGAAGGGAGAAATAAGGTATAAAACTATTACTATTATCCTTTCCCAACACGTCTGTAGGAAACACCTCCCTGCTTCCCACAATCCATATCGCAGAACTGTTTTTAGGGATGCATTCCGGGAGAACGAGCTGGTGGGGGAGTTAATGGAAGTGTAGGTCTGATTGTTATATTCATATGTCATATCAGAGGCAAAGAGCCTATGATGGGACCTGGGGTATCTACATGGATGCCCTTGACATCAGTAGGTCTTCCAGTGTGGGTCTTGTTGGGGTGGGGGAGGCTAAACTTTTCGAAAGCCCAAACAGTAGTTCAGAGTTAGGTATACAAAGAAGCAAGTTTATTTCCCAATGTACCATTTGCTTCTGTTTCTTCCAGATGGCTTTCAAGGGTTTCAAAATTTTTTTTTTAATTATGGTATTGGCCTGTGTTGGTTTGGTTTTTTTCACGCTGCATTTGACTGAAATCTCTATATTCTGCCAAAAGAGGGAAAAGGTCACAGAACTGACTTCTGCAACAGATACCAGAAACTTTTTGCATTTGCCAGATATCGACTGCCATAGGACTCCTCCTTTCCTCATCAAGCTAGGATGACTATTCGTCAAACGTGGGGGAAACACAGACTAGTTGCTGGAAACCGCATTGTGACATATTTCCTTCTGGGAATAACCACAAAAGAAAGTGATCTAGTTGACATTACTTTTGAAAGTCAGAAATACAGAGACATTATACAGAAGGATTTTATGGATTCATACTACAATCTGACTTTAAAGACAATGATGGGAATTGAATGGGTTCACATATTTTGTTCTCAATCCAGGTTTGTGATGAAAACGGACACAGATATGTTTGTCAATATCTTTTACCTAAGTGAACTTCTTTTAAGAAAAAACAGAAGCACCAGATTCTTCACAGGCTTTTTAATGATGAATGAGCGCCCAATACGAGACAGAGGCAGCAAATGGTATGTGAGCGAAGCTGAATATCCAGCAAGCACATATCCTCCATTTTGTTCAGGGACTGGTTATGTTCTCTCCACTGATGTTGTTAGTCAGATTTATAATATTTCAGAAAGTGTCCCTTTTATTAAACTGGAGGATGTTTTCATAGGACTGTGTCTCGCTAAACTAAAAATCAACCCAGAGGAACTTCATTCAGAGCAGACTTTCTTCTTACATAAGGTTGGATTCTCTTTTTGTCGCTTCAGGAAAATTGTGACATCACATCAGGTGGAACCTTATGAGCTGTTGATTTTCTGGGATGCATTGGAGAAATCAAAAGATGAAAAATGCCCAGATGTGTGAGATTTGCCTTTTTTTACATAGAGCTAAAAATGTGCATTATCATCACAATAAATTATAATATATACTGTGAAGTTTCTGTGTCCAGCTAAAAATGTTCCTATGTTCCCACTTCCACACTTTAAGGAAACATTATTAATTTTATCTATGATTTATCTCTTTAGATACTATTAATGGCTGTTGGGGAGGGGGCTGAGATATCAGAATTGCTTTGTGTGTGGGCGTTGGTTTCTTTGCATATCAAAAGTGGTAATCCTAGCCTTCAGACAAAGCACAACTGGAACTGAAGTAAAGCCGGGGACCTGTGTAGAACTGATGAATATTTGTTTTAGTAAGACTTTAATCTGCTAAAACTTTAATTTTTTTACTTAAAATGTGAAAATATCTTGCCCCTTTTCCAATTTGCACTTGTTTATTTTCAAACCTTGGCCTTTCTTGTAGAACACAAGCCAACAAAGCTGCTCTGACTTGGTACCAGCACTTTTGGTAATGTCAGCTGATGGGCTGGGAATGCTTCTGTATCATTTGATTCTCGCTGTCCTTTTCCCTGTTTCCCTAATATTAGAAGTTTACAGTTCAAAGGCCATTCCTTGACACACTATAATAAGGGTAGGCAGTGATGGCCGGTCGCTGTCCTTTTCCCTGTTTCCCTAATATTAGAAGTTTACAGTTCAAAGGCCATTCCTTGACACACTATAATAAGGGTAGGCAGTGATGGCCGGCAATACAGGCGAACTAGGCGGTCACCTAAGTCGCCTAGATAAATGGCCATTGAGGGCTTTGGAGGCGGGGATGGCAATCACGCTCCGATCGCACGTTTCACCTAGGGCGCCAGTTGCCGGCAGCTCGTCTAGGGCCACTCCTGAGGGTAGGACGATGAGCTCTTGCAGTGAGCTCTGTGTGAGCAGAGTTATGCATCTACATGAAACCATGCTGAAGACCGTGGGGCTTTTACACAAGCACACAGCGTAGACAGGCCACATAAATTTCTTGCGCAAGAAAGCAAGAGAGCATCTACACTGGCACGGATGCTTTTGCGCAAAAGATGTCTTTTGCGCAAAAGCATCTGTGCCAGTGTAGACGCTCTCTTGCGCAAATACTTTTAATGGAAAAGCTTTTCCGTTAAAAGTATTTGCGTGAAATCATACCAGTCTAGATGCAGCCCACATTTCTCTTTATGCCGAGATATTCAAAGGGTCCGAAGAGAATGAAGCATCTCTACTCTAAATAATGATATTTGGGCCCTGACTCCACTAGTCTCTCTTGAGAACTCCAGTCTCAATTGTTATAATCATACATACTCAGGCCTGATATGTAAAAGCTGAATGAGTAAAAGGGCTATTTGTATATAGTGTATTTGATGTAACCAAATGTAATTGTTTTAAGTATTGGAGTTTATTCTCCCCTGGAATTTCCACATGAAATGTTTTTTAATGCTGATATAAAAATATGGCACTCTAGCTTATTTGCATAGAACAAACTAACAAAACTTCATGCTTGGTTATATTTTAATAAATGATTGTTATTATAGCTTTTGTGTGTGTGTAGTTATCTTTTACTTGAGAGTGCAACTCATGCTTTGAAATTCATTTTTCAAAAAGGAGGGTCTTCTTTTTAAACCAAGAGTCATATCTTTCCTACTCTAAAATGCCAGGGTAGAGGCTTTCTAATGCTGGAGTTGTCTGGTTTTTGTTTTGAGTCTCCCCCAGCATGCTATAAAAATGCCATGGCCCATCTGAACCACAGCAACTGGTATTCTACATATAAAAGCCACTGCTGGCATTAGGAGGTAGCGTACAGCACCATTACATGGGGTCCCTTGATGCAGGGCCCAGGAACGTAAGTTGCTTAGGTTGCAACTTCAGCCCTGGATGGCAGAGCTCAGGGTCTTGGGCTTCAGACTTATGCAGTGGGGTTTAGGCTTTTTTGCCCTGGCCTTCAGTGAGTCTAATATGGGCTCTGTTTGATGGACCCCGGAAACATGCTCATGGTCCTGGGTCCTGGACAATGGATGTAATAGTGTAGCCGATTAACTGATTAATCAATAAGCAAAAGCTTATAGGTTAATGCTATAGACTGCACTCATTTCCTGCTCCTGCCCCCTTGACAGTAAGTTTTTTAGCAGGATGGCCAGCAGCCTGGCTCAGTTGTGGCTCACACCGGGCCCAGGACCTATCCCTGCTGTGGCCAGGGCCGGCCTTTGGCCGATTCAACCAATTCAGTCAAATTGGGCCCCGTTCCTAAGGGGGCTCTGCACCCCTGAACCCAGAAGTGCCGGCGAGTTAGTATTGAGAGCCGGGGGCCCTTCTCCACCAATATGTGGCGCTGGGTCTCTCCTCTGGCTCTGTCTGGAGCGGACCCCGGACACTCCCTGCCTGTCCCCCCACGTGTCCTCCCACTCCGTCCCCAGAGGGCCGAGGGCAGTGAGAAGGGCAGGGGTCAGGACAGCAGAGGAGGGTGAGGAATTGGAGGGCAGCAGGCACCTGGGGAGATGATGGAGCAAGGAGAGGAAACATGGTAGCAGAGAGAAAAAGTTAAGGTTTAAAAATATTTATCAATAACTTGGTAAGCTGCCCATGGCCAATTTGTTTGAGCCCCGCGGTGCAATTTGGGTTTATGTACTCAGTGTAATGATCTTCTGTTGATATGTGTTTTAGTAGTTAAATTCTTGGACTGTCATTGCTCATGAAAAGTGCTGTCACATTGGTAGAAATTGGGTAAATATTGCGTTTTATTAATATCAGCAGAACTGACTTAAATGGGACCTGTGTGTTGTATAGTCTTGCCTTAATCTTTGTATTCATGCCTGTCAGTGTGAAAGAAGATATTTGTATATATTTGCTTGCATATGCAACCACACTTAAGTTGAGGCCCTCGACATGTTCTGTAAGTGTCAGTGAGGTCCCTGGGGCTTCCAAAGTTGAGCTGCCCTAGCTCATCCCTGTCAGATGATAGGCTTGTCTGCATTTACTAAAAGTCCCCCTTTTAAAAAGTAAATTCAACCACCATAGAATTTCCTATTACACAAGATTGACACAGAATTTGGGTTCAGCTTGCAGCAGAGAACAAGGAGCCCTGACTCTATATAGCACTTTCCACTTCCAAGCTTGGGACTAATCATCCAGCCTTTATGCCTGTAAAGCTCCAACCTGAGATTAAAAGGCAATTTGTGTGACTAAGGAATGTAGCACTGAATCCTTAAAAAGCAGATGGCAAAATTTCAAGGTAAATAAGGCCAATTCCTTCAGTCTTGCCTCATATCTCATGTTCTCTAGACCTTTCATCATTTGTGTTGATCTTCTCTCGACTTTCTCCAGTTTCTCCATGTTTCTTGAAATGTGGTGCCCAGAACTGAACATGATACTCCAACTAGGGCCTAATGTAGATGGCTCAGTCCCTACCTAGGGGACGTGAGACTGGGCGGGTTAATTTCCAATCCTTCCTCCTGTTTATTATTTTCCTAAGCCAGGAGGGCATAGTAGTTCTGATGGGGGCTCTGCAGGAAGGCAGCCCGCACTGCTTCCTTCCTGAAACCTTGTGCAGGTGTTAAACAGCTGTCCAGCCCACCCTCGAGGTGACTGCATTTTAGTGTGCCTGAAGCAACACAGCACCAGCAATGGACAGGAGAATGGCTCCTGGGCATGGCTTGCTCGTGACTGCTTCAGTCCCATGATCTTCTCTGGACTTTCTCCAGTTTCTCCATGTTTCCTGAAATGTGGCGCCCGGAACTGGACATGATACTCCAGCTGGGGCCTAATGTAGATGGCTCATTCCCTGCCTAGGGGACGCAAGACTGGGCAGGTTAATTTCCAATCCTCCTGTTTATTCTTTTCCTAAGCCAGGAGGGCATGGTAGTTTTGATGGGAGCTCTGCAGAAAGACAGCCCGCACTGTCCCCTACCTGAAACCTTGAGCAGGTGTTAAACAGCTGTCCAGCCCACCCTAGAGGTGACTGCATTTCAGCATGCCTGAAGCAACACAGTACCAGCAATGGACAGGAGAATGGCTCCAGGGCATGGCTTGCTCATGACTGCTTCAGTCCCATTGGATAGGCCTCATCCTATTTCCTTCCCCTCCCCCGCTTTGCAATGGGGCTGTAGACTCTGGGGGGAGAGGGGTGGAGGCAGACAGAGGTGTCTCCCTGAAGCAGATGTAGACACATCTCTGTATTAATCATTCTCTCATTGAAGTTTTTAGCTTTGTATTGTGTCCTTTTATATAGAAACTTTGTATTACGTCTCAGAATAGTCCTTGGGAAAGTGAGGCAGAGACTGTCCCTGTGGGGTGAATGAGAGTATGTTTGCTAGATAGGCAAATGAGGGCAACCAGAGTTGCAAATGAAGCCTGGGATTAAAATATCCCAGGGTATGTCTACACTACCCCCCTAGTTCGAACTAGGGGGGGTAATGTAGTCATGC